CAGGCCCCCCGCGGCCGAGGGAGAGGGTCCGGGCGGCGCCCCGACTGCCCCGCGGGGTCCCCCCAGGAGCGCGGGCGGTGCCTAGTGTGCTCCGTGCCTGGTTCATCTTCCAGGCGCTCTCCCAGGAAGCCGGGCATCCCCCGGGCGTCGGGCCGCCCTGCTCAGATGCTGTGGCCCGGAGCCCGGGCTCGTCTCCGTCGGAGAGGAAAGTGTGCGTGGGGTGCTGCGTGAGGCTGCAAAAATTAGTCTCACTGTCTTTTTTTTTTTTTTTTAACACCCCCCTACCCATTTAAAAAGAAACTGATGCCTTACTTGGAGTCGGTGCCACCCTCCTCCTGCCCCCCACACCCCCAGGCCCAGGGCTCTTGAGTATTTTCAGCAGAGCAGACCGGCTGAAGGCACCTTTTGACTCAGACCAGATTTAAGCACTAATTCTGCCCCTTCCGCAGCCGTGCTCAGAGTGAAACAGACCCGCACCCACCCCTGGCTGCGGGCGCTCCTGGCTGCCAGCCAGAGTGCTGGGCCGCAGGGTGCTCCTCCCTTAGCGCACCCCACCCCCATACAGGGGTCAACCTCAAATGCATTCAGCACTGAGAGTCAGCAGGGCTGCTCTTTCAAGCTCCACCCCGCCCTCCTCCCAGTTATTCTCAACTTTCTCAAGAGGTTGCAATTCTCTGTTTCGGGCACACCTGGTAAAGGGCCTGACTCAGATAGAGGCTTGAAACTCCAGGCCTTAACCTCATGTATCCTGGTAAACCCCCCGCAATCTGATTGGGGGACAAACTAAACTAAAACAAGAATAGCCAAGGGACTGGAAAAGGGCAGTTTGCAAGACTCTGCTGCCCTCTGAGCCTTTACCTGCATCCATGCATATTTCCGGGGGGGGGGGGACCATATAATGTATTGCCCCTAGTAGGATACTGTTGACTAATTGACTGTAGTGATACTTCCCAGGAAGTTGGCCAGAGAGGACTCAGCAGGACCAGGGTTTGAAAAGACTGTCAAGCAGTGGCCCTGTCTCCTGAGACATATCTCACTCCTGACAGGCCTGCCTAGGACTCAGTCATCTGTCCCCCAGGCTATCAATGTGGCTGCTGAACAGGGTCCCTTAATCCAGTCTTATTCCATGAAGACACCTGTGTGCTTGTGTTTGTCCTAAAAGCAGACCTAAGACAGCTTCTACTGATGGGTCAGAAAGAAAAGCCCAGGCCCCCTCTCTTCAGTGGCCACCAATACTGCTTTATAACTAGGATTGGGAGACCCGGATGCAGCCTTGACTGTTGTCCCTGATTTTAAGTGAAAATTGAGTCAACACACATTTTTTCCCTTCCTTGGGTCTCCATTTCTTCAACTATAAAATAAAAACTATAATGCCCAACCTGCTCAGCTTATGTGATTGCTTTAGAATTATATTTTCAATTCCAGGAAATCTGTGAAGGCTTACTGTAAGCCGGGCCCTGTGCTGGGTGTTAAGGACCCAAGTATGAGTGAGATTTAGTCCCTGCCACCCAAGAGCTCAGTCTAGTCCCAGAGAAAAACAAGAAATACTTAATCTCATTGTGTAATAATGTGGCAGTTAGAATTTCAAGGCATCTAGGGAGAAGCGAGGAAGAAACGACTTTTCTTGGACTTCAGGGAGTTTTCCCAGAAAGTGTTATTTTTTTATCTTGAATTAACCCAGATATGTATTGAAACCTTTGATGCACCAGACACTGGGTATAGAGATACAATGATTTTATAAGTATACTTGTCTTTGTGGATCTTGAAAAAGTTCTATGAGTCATAACATAAGAGGAGTAAGAGGTTGTCGCTGGCATTTCAGGCAGAGAGAATATGCAGAAGTGAGGCAGTGGGATGTTCTGGAATTTCTAGTAGCTCACCATGGCTCCCTACTGGCAACTGAGGAGCAGTGGCCAGGCACAGGGCTGGCAAGGTGTCTGGGGATTATGGGGAGGGGTTGATAGATCAGCTAGAAGCCATGGCCTTAGTAGTACAGGAGAAATAGAGTCAAGGTTGACTGACGTGAAATTGGGAAGTGACCTGGTTGGAGTGGCGTTTCAGGAGAGATCGAGAACATTGTGGAACTGATGCTATACATGATTGATAGTGTATTTATTACATCTGATGAAATTATATAGTGGATGCTGACCTGCCCATTCTCAAAGGCCAAATGCATGACCTTTGGGAGCTACTGCAGTGCAGGATAAATTTATACAATTTATACTAACTGCCTCAATCTTTATGAGTATTGACAGTAATTCTCAGATTGGTAAAAAACAAAAACTTGTAGTAGGGATATCTGGGTAGTGATCTTCACTCATTCCCTTTTTAGTTATATGACCTCAGATGAATTTAGAATATCTGAATTATAAAGTGGAATTATAATATGAATTTTACTGGACATAAAAATTATGGAAGATGTGTATAAAGCAACTAGCATGATGTCTTGAACATTATAAATAAATACTATTATTATTATTATTATTACTGTTGTGGGACTACATCCACAGGAAGCAATCCAACATGCAATAAAAGTAAGATTAATAAAAAAAATGCTACCTTATCAATCAAATATGTGGGAATTGTTAAACATACAATTGTGGGAATGGTTCAATACAATAAGTGTCTATGATAAAATCTGTGCTCATTAAAACTAGGATAATATCATGACGGGGAAACATTTAAACCGGTCCGCTCTGCAGGACAGTCAAATCCAGGGACCTACTGCGAATGCTTTCCAGATCCCTCTCTACCTTGAAATGTATTTAGCTGCCCCTTCACTCACCTCGTTGCTCATGAGTTCATTAATCAGCAAACACACACTAGGTACCTGCTAAATGTGAAGCCCGAAGCGAAGCACTGTGTTGCTCAAATTGATGGGTTTTGAGAACAGCTCCTAAGACTACTATACCACTTTAAGGCTGATATGAACCACAAGCGATGATGTTCATCTTTCTTAAACAGCTCTTACAGAAAGCCATACCTAGGCTCAAAAATCTGCGACAGACGGCCAGGACAAATTTAGAGAATGCCACCTCATGGTGAAGTGCTGGCTGTGGACGGCACAACTCCCATTCCCACTGAGGCCTCCGGGGACGGAACACCTGGAATTGTGCGGAACAGTTTCCTTGGCCCCACGTGGATCCTTGAGCATGGACACCCTGGGCTGGAGATCAGGAACCAGCCAGCGGCCTCCTCTCTCACCCCTCGGGGTTACATCCCCAGCAGCGGCTCGCCACCCTGTGGATTCCCTTTCCCACCTCCACACCCAGTTGAAATCTCCCACAACAGTGATTTCTTTCCTCACTTTTTAAACAGCTCCCGTTCAGAAAGCTGTTGTTTATTTACGAGGATTATTTTTCCCCTCAGTACCACCTATTCAAAGGTGCTTGTTTGTTTGTTTCCTTTTTGGTTTGCTGGTTTTACCATGGCTGGGCAGGGGATGTGTTTCTTTCTTTGGTTAAATGGTCCCCTGGGAAAAGTCCAGTGTATAAATACTGAAGAAATTGCCATGTTGGAACCATTTTTTCCCAGGCCCTTGTTCTGTATCTCTACCCCTCACACAGGAAAATAGCGGATCGCTCGCTTACGGGGGAGATGAAAGCAGGGGGACCCTTGTCCATGCTCTTAGATTAGAGGAGGGTGGGGACCCCAGCATGTGGGAGTTTCCTGGGTGTTGTAAGTTGTCTACCATCCTGTTACATATTGCTGAGCAGCTCACGGAAAAGCCTGAAAG